CAGGATAGAACTCGGTGAAATCATGTAATCTGTGCCCTTTAGCAGAAATCATGTAATCTGTGCCCTTTTTCAGAAGTAAGGGAAAATAATACACTATTGGATACCTAGTTGGATTGAAGCAAACTAGGTAATTTTTCAGTGCAATTCTCTCCTACAACTGTCATATAGAGTTGATATTACTAGATGAGAGGAAGAGCCAGACAGAGCAAATACATGTAACATGCTAGCTAACAAATCTCAGATCTTTGCAGAAAAGTTACATAAAGTATTTTGTAAGGAAACTTTGTTTAGCAGTTACAGGGATCTGTTCTCAAAGAGTTTTCAGAACCTTTTAAAGTTCAGAAAGCAAACTGAGCTTTTATTTTACTGACTCTTGTTCTTAATGAAGCTGATGCTGAAAATAAAAAAAAACTATGAGTCACGGTAGAAAGTCTTTATTTGTCTTCTCATTAAACATCTGTTTTTATTTGTATAATAACAGTATAAAGAGTATTAAGAGGTAAAAGGAGACTCTCATTTATAAATAGTTTTTATGTTATTCATACAGCACAGTTTAGAAAATTAGTACTACAATCAGTTATTAAGACTTCCTTTTCTTTTGAACTTGTTCAAATCAATAATTTATGTGTTATGGTAAAGAGTGGCATGTCCCAATATATGTAAATTTACTGAGCATTAATATTAATTTGTTGAGGCACCCCTACAGAAAGTTGTTAGATCAAGAATAAACATGATATTTTAGTTTCAAAACAATAAATAACCTGTCCCCCAGTGGCGAATTTCGCAGAATAACATACAGTATTACTCCTACAATCCACTTTTTCAGCTGATTTTAAAATGTCCCGGTTTATCTCTTCTCATCTCATTTTCCCTTCTTTTCTTCAGCTTCCTTCATTTCTACAGACTGAGTTCAAAATGCAAGGATCGTTTGTGCTCAACTAAGCACGAGGGAGAGGAGAGGGTGGAATCCTTCCTTTTGTGAATTATATATAAAATTTGACTACCATGTAGAGAAAAACAGGCTTTTGATGTAAAGAAAGAATTTTCAGAAACAGCAAGTTTTGCACAAAAATGTGTATTTCAAGAAACTGTTTTTTTTTTTTTTCATGCTTCCTCTGTTTCCAGGACCAAGGGAGAGGGTTTTTCAAAGTGTTTTTAGAAACTTGTTTTTAAGACTCCATTGTGAAGTTCTTTTGTACATCCCTCAGCATTTTCTGGGGGGGGAAACTAGTTTCTAAAAGCACATGTTTCTTTGGATCCAATATCCTTTTTAACATACTGTTCCATTATCTGTGTGGAGGCCACTAGGAAGTGCTAGAGAGAGAAAGATAATCCCTTTTACAGGAAGGGAGTTGAAGGAGGAAAACCATTTCCCTCATTTTTGCTGGTTATTTCCCCTCGCCACTTCCAATGTCATAAATGAGGGTTGTTTCCATGATGGGGGTATGGATGGGAGAAATAACAGGAAAACAGGGGGAAATGGTTTTACTCCTTCAACCCACCCTTCACCCCCATAAAATGGACGATCCTCTCTCTCACGCTCCCTTGTGGCCTCCACCTAGGTAATGTAACAGTATCCTAATGTTTTATACCAAAAACGGTTCTATGCATAACGACACCTCAGATACACTACTCTTAAAATAATAAAGAAATGGGGTTGCAAAAAAGTGCTTTTGCAGGAAAAAAGTCAAACCAAACAAACAAACCTGATGTGTATCTCTGCATATTATAATTTCCCAAAACACTTTGGGATGTGCAACTATTGGGTGAAAGTTTTGCAGAATTCTGGCCTTTGTGTTATTCTTCCTGATTTATTTCCAAATGTCAAGAAAGCCATTTTTCAGCCAGGAAATGAATAGCGGAAAATATTCTTTCCAGTACTATATCAACCTACTAGAGTCACTGGGATTTGCACAATGCACAACTATTGGCAGAATAGCGTCTTCGGTGTTTTTTTAAGTGACTCACTCTTGTAATATATTGCATAAATCTCTATATTGAATACCATTTTATAAGATGCTTAAAGGGAGTATTCACTTCATACTTGTTCTGGGGCTTTTTTCTGTCCAGATATAGCACAATAACTCCACTTTAACTACTATGTCTGCATCCTATTTGCATTTAGGGAGAGAGGTATGGAATTGGTAGAGAGCTCTGATTTTTCTGACAAAGTTACAAACCCAGGTTCCAGGGGATCAAACCATGGCAATTAAAGTGAAATCACTGTGTTATGTAATATGAAAGGACTGTTGGTTCATTCATTCTTGGATCTTAGAGAATCCTTTTCTTAATAGCTTTTCCTGTAATACTTTTAGTTCTGCTTATTCTTCAAGGCAGTGTATTTAGTCCAATAGCTAAATAATAACATGCATAATTACTACTGTAGCAATATAACATATGCACACACAGACACATTGCATAACAACTTGTATTTATAGAATCTCTTGCACCAGAGTTAAGGGTTGTGCTTTCATAATCTTCCATACTTGAGATTGGGTTCATTTGTATAATACTAATAGTTTTACTAATTTCTTACAAACTCGCTAAGTTTAGTTTCAGCCACTCTTTCATATCCTGCTGTGAGGGTTTTATACTATCCCATGTTGCCACGTATGCCGTAGCTTTTCAGACTACTCATTTTGGCATCCTTTATAACTCCTTTTCTCTTGTATATATAGATTCTCGTGAAATTATTCCCATGTGTACATTATTATGAAATATGTTCATTCTCGTGTAACATATAAAATAAAAGTTAGAGCTAGCCAAATATTTCTTTTCAGGAGGGCAGCCATAGTTAAAATCTATTCTGGAATCCTTTGTGCTCTCACATTTATCATGAATTTCCCTGAGGAAGCTTGAAACTAGTCTGGGTCTTCCAGCACTAACAAAAATTGATTTAAAATGGAATTACCAAGGTATGATTTTGACCCTTTTCATGATATAAAAAAATTTCATCCAACAACAGTCCAGGATAGAGTGCAGTGAAGGCACCCAGAAATGTATCTGAATTCTGTATAAAACAACAAACTATTTTGATGTTTTTCTGAGGTATAACCTGATTAAAATCTATTCCCTGCTCCCCTTTGTATAGAGTTTTGTTTTTGTTAGAAATTACTGGCATGCATACAACTATTTTAATAGTTATTTGTATATTAAAACAGTGCCATAAATGGATAAACTATTTGGTGAACATTTACAAATATTTGATTCGTGATGAATATGCAGTAATTCAAGTTGACAGAAAAATCTATTTAGGAAAAATGAGATAATTGACTAGAAAGGGGTGAATAACTTATGGCCCTTCCAATGTCTCACCTTCTATACAGAGTTGCCCATGTTTAGGGATCATGGGGACTGCAGTCAAGCAACATCTTCCCCTTTACCAATTGCTAAAATTGAAAAAATAGATTTTAGGGTTTTTTTAAGAGCTTGTGTGGCTTGTCATAAACTCACATCCTAACCAGGCTCAAAGGGACATGTTGCTTGGGAAAGGACAGCACATAGTTCATTTTTTGTAAGGCACATGTTTTTTAGTCACAAGATTCCAGGTACAGGCCCTGATAGCAGCATTTAAAACTAACGGATGATGACACCTTGGATTAACATACTCAATATAGATTTGGGCTATATTGCCAAATTGTTCCATCTAGCATGAGGCAGCTTTTTATGTATCTATGAAGCAATGTTTCATAATGAATGATGACTATGCAGTTAACCTAATTTTTAATGTGATGACTATTCATATTATTTGGGGGAAATATGCTGTTCATTAACAAAATTTGTTGTATATGTATTTGTGTCACTCTTGGGAAAAACTTTTAGAGAAATAGCTAACAGACACATTTCTTTACAAATCCGGTGTAATTCTTTACAAATTACCTGGCATAATAATCTAGTTTCCACATTAACATAGCCAATATCTGGTCCCATCTAAAGCATCTTCCATCCACATAGATCAAACTTCTGTCTTTTAAAAACAGGTTGGAAATTTCCTCTAAGCATAACATTTTAATTCTACCTTCCTGGAATACCAGTGGCCAATCCCCCTAGACATTCCTATGGACATCACATTAGCTATTGTATGTTTTCATTATCAAACCCATACTTACTTGATCAGCTACTGTGTCAAACCGCTTCTGGGTTCTGTAAAATTAAAAGAGAATTATTCCCTATGAAAATGATCATTTACGGAATATAGCTGATCTTTCCTTCTCACAAGTAAGTTTGAATTTCTTCTTTAAGATTTTCTAGCTCAAGTATTTAAAGAGTAAACCAATTTGTATCATTGTTACGGTCTAGCTATCTGTTTTCTCTCATTCCATGTATACCTAATCTGAATACACCTTCTTAATTTGGAACCTATGGTTAACTATATACTTTGATGACTAAATATTTTTTCCCTTGTTTAGTTGGATTCTATTTTCATATTTTCACGTTCTTTGACCAAGTGGATATACAGAGCCAGCCCCTACTGAATTAAAATGATTTTTTGTGTATTAAAACACTGGCTGCCTTTGAGTTTATGTTCTATGAAATACTTACAACTTCCACCACTACTTTTAAATATTTGCAGGAACCCTTTTAAAATGCTGGTCTGAATGAATTATTAAAAGCTTTTTTCCATTACTAAATTTATGAATGGGCTTCTGGAACTTGCTTTTTCTTCCACTCTGTTTGGCTTGCGGGTTTTCAGTATATATGTCTATTTTATGGCAGCAAATTGCATTTCCATGGCAGCAACTATTGTACTATTCTGTGATTTTTTTTCAGAACTGTTTACTAAATGAAGTAATGCTTTGTGGTACATAAGGAATAAATTATTCCTCATGGCATTGGCACTGACAAGGAAGTTTGGCAGATCTCTTCTGTAATGCCATAGAATATGTAGCTATGTTGACTGACCTGACTGAAGAAAAATGTGGAGGGAGGTCTTAGTTAAATTATTTATCTTTGGGATTCTGAATGGTCTTTAATTGAGCTATATTTTGTCTCTTGCACAGACCATCTGAAAGAAGAGATAATTCAGAGACATATGCAAAAAGCAGCTCAAGGTAGGTATATTGCAATCGTATTCAAGACTTTTCCAGAAGGGACTTTTGCTACTGGCAAATGCAGATTTACTTTCTGCCTACAGACTTCATGATGTCAACTACAGACTCTCACTCTAATGTTATTTTAGCCATTTTCTTCATATTCTTCAACAGCAGTTCATGAAATAACATTTTCATGGCATCTTTTCTTACCATACACGCATTTATCTTCCTTTTTAGTAGTAGCCACAGAATACCTCACTGGAAATACTGTTCTCCACAAACCCAAAAGCTAACTTCAGTTGAGCCATATTGATTTGTGCCTATGGTTTCAGTTGTCCTGAAGTGACCTAGGAAACCATAGCTTATTTGAACAGATAGAGAAACATGTGCACTCTCTGTGTTTACAAATATCTCGAGGAACATGTGGAGTCTTCCCAAATGTTTAATTACTCTTCATTAATCATAGAAAATGATGCAGGAATGCTTGCAGTAAATAATTCATTTGGATTATATCAAGGTAAATAAACAACACTGCATTCCATTGGAAAAACATAAGAGACTGACTGCAGAACTAAATAATACAGCAATTCTCAATCGTTTCCCTCTGTATAAAGAAGAGGTATAGATTTTCATATACCATGCTTAAATAAATAAAGTGTTTTGGGACTTCTGTCTTCCCCCTGCTTCTGTTAATAGTTAGAAACATCTCCAAAAGCAACAGCTAACATTGTAGAACTGGTGGCACAAAATGCTCAGTATCATACCAGGATTATTACCAAGAGCTCTATTTGTCCCCTTTTAAATCCCTCTGAATGCTTTTGTATCCTACTTCCTCCCTGTAGTCTACTGTGTTGAGCTCTATTAGGCTCCAGCCAGAAGAATTAACATGAAGTAGACAATCCCGTTTTGAAAGTGCTGCTTTAACTACTTCAAAACTAGATTTTAGTGTTGATTTTAGACTGCTTTTATAAAAATGCTTTTATCTTTGTATGGTTTTTAACTGATATTATTTGTTTATCACCTTGGGAACCCTTGTGGTTTGAGAAGCAATACAAAATATTTTAAGTAAATCAATAATTGACATACATTCAATAATAAAAATAAACATCTGATTAGTAGTTGTTTTACAATCAGAAGACCTTATCTTATTATACTTCTTTAGTTATTTATTCTTTTAAATGTATTTAAATGTTTTGACCCAATTATTACTGTGTTGATTGTGGATCCTTATTTTCTGCTTTATTGTATTCTGTCAGATGGAAACAGCTGTCAGTTCTCCTAGAAACTGTCTTGATAGCCGTAAAAACATCAAGGCATTCATGAAAGAAAACAGCTTGGTAGCAAGCCTAATTAAAGCTTTGAACGCATTCTGTCTATTTGATATCTTGATATTAAGATTTTCTAGTTGGCTTTAAAAGCTCCTCTGTTTGGATATTGTAAGACTGGAAAAATAGTATCATTATTTTTCCTCAAAGTGAATGGGTTTTCCTAACACTTGCAAAACCCTGACAGGAGTTTAATTAAGCAATGAGATTTCTGCTATTTTCTCATGCCTTGCAGAGTATTCTGGGGAATTGTGAAGAAAAATAAAGAAGAAAAATAAATGGGATTGTTTTTATGCTAAAATGCTTTTATACACTTTTATCTATAGAAAGTAGGCCTGTTTGATCAAGAAAAAATTTGTTTCTAAAATCGATTTGTAATTGGGGTGTTTTTTTGTTTCGATATTTAAAATAATTACAAAACTTTCCAAAAAAAAGTTTCGGTATTTACGAAATTTTGTAAATATTAACAAAACATTTTGTAAAGATGGGGCCTTTTTTTTTCAATATTTTTTAAATATTTTTTAAATTTAATTATTAAATAATTTAGTAGAATAGGGAGGAGAAATTAAGGGAAGGCAGGCACTCACTCTGGCGGGCCCTCTCGCTCGCCGCTCGCCCTCTCGCTTGCCGCTCGCCCTCTCACTCGCCCTCTCGCTCGCCGCTCGCCCTCTCGCTCGCCGCTCGCCTCCCTCGCCGCTCGCCCTCTCTCGCCTCTCGCTCGCCCTCTCGCTCGCCGCTCGCCCTCTCGCTCGCCCTCTCACTCGCCCTCTCGCTCGCCGCTCGCCCTCTCGCTCGCCCTCTCGCTCGCCGCTCGCCCTCTCGCTCGCCCTCTCGCTCGCCGCTCGCCCTCTCGCTCGCCCTCTCGCTCGCTTGCTCAGCCGGCGCGGAGAGAGGAGAGCTCCCAGCAAGCCAGGCGGCCATCTTACGTATTTCCGAAATGGACGGAAATACAAAATTTTTTGGCGCCTGCCGTTTCGATATTTAAAAACCTTCCGGGTTTGAAAATATGTTTTGTTATCGTTTCGTATATGCAAAAATTAACGAATGTTTAACGAATTAACGAATTAACGAACGAAACCGCACAGGCCTAATAGAAAGTGTGGTTTTTTGTTTTGTTTTGTTTTGTTTTGTTTTGTTTTGCAAAAATAAACCCTCAATATATTTATCTGCAGAAAAAACTACAAAGTTGGAATAATGGGACAATGCGGGTGTACAGATCTCCTTTCCTGAAGGAGGGAGAAAACTATGGGACTAATTCATCATTGTACAGACTTCCTGGAGTGACCTCTAGTGGTATTTTAGGCTATTTCACCAATCTATGACTATGGAGAAAATTCATTTCCAAGACTTTCATGATATTATTATTATTATTATTATTATTATTATTATTATTATTTCCACCTATTCCTTTGGAATTGCAAAGGAATTCATTGCAGCTCACACCAAATAATATAATATTTATTGTAAGGATGTTCCCAAAGTCTCTAACATAGGAACAATTAACAAACTCATATTGACTACAATTTCCCATTTCCCCTATCTTTGGCAATTTTGGGGGCATCCTGTTGTTGTTGTTCATTCGTTCAGTCGTCTCCGACTCTTCGTGACCTCATGGACCAGCCCACGCCAGAGCTCCCTGTCGGCCGTTACCACCCCCAGCTCCCTCAAGGTCAGTCCAGTCACTTCAAGGATGCCATCCATCCATCTTGCCCTTGGTCGCCCTTCCTTTTCCTTCCACTTTCCCCAGCATAATTGTCTTCTCTAGGCTTTCCTGTCTCCTCATGATGTGGCCAAAGTACTTCAACTTTGTCTCTAGTATCTTTCCCTCCAATGAGCATTCGGGCTTTATTTCCTGGAGGATGGACTGGTTGGATCTTCTCGCAGTCCAAGGCACTCTCAGCACTTTCCTCCAACACCACAGTTCAAAAGCATCGATCTTCCTTCGCTCAGCCTTCCCTAAGGCCCAGCTCTCACATCCGTAGGTGACTACAGGGAATACCATGGCTTTGACTAGGCGGATCTTTGTTGTCAGTCTGATGTCTCTACTCTTCACTATTTTATCGAGACTGGACATTGCTCTCCTCCCAAGAAGTAAGCGTCTTCTGATTTCCTGGCTGCAGTCTGCATCTGCAGTAATCTTTGCACCTGGAAATACAAAGTCTGTCACGGCCTCCACGTTTTCTCCCTCTATTTTCCAGTTGTCAATCATTCTTGTTGCCATAATCTTGGTTTTTTTTATGACGTTTAGCTGCAACCCGGCTTTTGCGCTTTCTTCTTTCACCTTGATTAGAAGGCTCCTCAGCTCCTCCTCGCTTTCGGCCATCAGGTTGGTGTCATCTGCATATCTGAGGTTGTTAATGTTTCTTCCAGCAATTTTCACCCCAGCTTGCCATTCATCCAGCCCTCACATCGCATGATGTGTTCTGCATACAAGTTAAAAAGGTTGGGTGAGAGGATGCAGCCTTGCCGTACGCCTTTCCCAATCTTGAACCAGTCTGTTGTTCCGTGGTCAGTTCTTACTGTTGCAACTTGGTCCTTGTACAGATTCCTCAGGAGAGAGACAAGGTGGCTTGGGATGCCCATCCCACTAAGAACTTGCCACAATTTATTATGATCCACACCTTCAAAGGCTTTAGAATAGTCAATGAAGCAGAAGTAGATGTTTTTCTGAAACTCCCTGCCTTTCTCCATTATCCAGCGGATATTGGCAATCTGGTCTCTCGTTCCTCTGCCTTTTCTAAACCCAGCTTGACCATCTGGCAACTCTCGCTCCATGTATTGCTGGAGTCTTCCTTGCAGGATCTTGAGCATTACCTTACTGGCATGAGAAATAAGGGCCACTGTACGGAAGTTGAGCAGTCTTTCGCATTTCCCTTTTTTGGTATGGGGATATAAGTTGATTTTTTCCAGTCTGATGGCCATGCTTGTGTTTTCCATATTTGCTGGCAAATGGCATGCATCACCTTGACAGCATCATCTTTTAAGATTTTAAACAGTTCAGCTGGGATCCCGTCGTCTCCTGCTGCCTTGTTGTTAGCAATGCTTCTTAAGGCCCATTCAACCTCACTCTTCAGGATGTCTGGTTCTAATTCATTCACCACACCGTCAAAACTATCCTCAATATTATTATCCTTCCTATACAGATCTTCTGTATAGTCTCGCCACCTTCTCTTGATCTCTTCCGCTTCTGTTAGGTCCCTGCCATCTTTGTTTCTTATCATACCAATTTTTGCCTGAAATTTACCTCCAATGTTTCTAATTTTCTGGAAGAGGTCTCTTGTCCTTCCTATTCTGTTGTCTTCTTCCACTTCCATGCATTGCTTATTTAAAAATAGTTCCTTATCTCTTCTGGCTGACCTCTGGAATTGCGCATTTAACTGGGCATATCTCCCCTTATCCCTGTTTCCTTTTGCTTTCCTCCTTTCTTGGGCTACTTCCAGTGTCTCAGCAGACAACCATTTTGCCTTCTTGGTTTTCTTTTTCTTTGGGATGTACTTTGTTGCCGCCTCCTGAACAATGTCGCGGACTTCTGTCCATAGTTCTTCTGGGACTCTGTTTACTAAATCTAGTCCTTCAAATCTGTTCTTCACTTCCACTGTATATTCGCTAGGAATGTTAGTGAGATCATATCTAACTGGTCTGTGTATTTTCCCTGATCTCTTTAGTTTTATTCTAAACTGAGCAATAAGAAGT